TGGTTGATTGTGTAGCAGCCACGTTAGTGTCTTTTGACCTGTTGGTGGTGAAGAAGACATTGTGGTTTTTTAGCTGGTGGCTTTCAAGCTGGTGGCTTTATAGACTGTTGATTAACTGCCTGGCTTCCTAGGAGATATCATCCTGAGACAAGAAGGAACCCAGAATTAGCAGTCATCGCACAGTTCATATGCTTAGCTCATGTTATCACTATCCACACTTGATAATCACTCAGAGGACAGCTCTTAGAATAATGAGACCGCATTAGCCTCTATGCACCAGTGTCAGTCAGTGAGTAGAAGAAATATGAGACAAGTTTCACAATGGAGACAGACAGAAGTATCTCAGATAGAGAACACCATCTCTCTACATCCATATCTGAGACTACTACTCCCACAAATATGTATATTATATTTCCCTACAGGTTGAGTCTAGCCTTCCAGGTTTCCCCAGTGTGTGTACCTGAGTTAACCTACAAATATCCCATGACGTCACTGTTCTTGCCCCCTGTGTGCTGACCCAATTGTTCTGTCGGCTACTAGATCGGCATCCATTTTCACAACTAGTTAGTTATGGAACGAATGGACTGCTGCATTAAATCAATGATACTAGTGTTGCGGTTGGTAGTGCACATACTCTCAGCTTGAAAAGGGAAAGGTTTGATTTAGGTGGCCGTGAGTATATTGACACCAAGAACAGTCTCGCTCTGTAATGTCTCAAAGCCGAGTCCTCACTCTCCTCAGCAGCAGGGTAAATATATAGATACATATACATGGTACTCTTAAACTATAATAGACTTACCCAAGCTTTAGAAAATGTCCTGGACGCAAAAACCGCCCTCTCAGAGTACAACACTGAGAGTCAAAAGTTTTAAACGTCAGTTTTTCTTGATGGTCGGGCAGAGAATGAGAGGGAAAATGGTGGCGTCACTTTTATAGAAGAAGTGCGCCGATTCCTACGCCGAGGTCGTAAATCGTCCCATCGTATTAATGAGTAATAAACCAAAGATACTCTAACTTTCAACTCTAAGTTTGAAAATGTAGACATATCAAGAGATTCCAAACATACAAAATTATTGAATCCGCCGTATGAAGGTGTAAATAGACAACACAGGTGTATAAACCCACAGGAGGGGTCGATATTTGAATGTGACCTCGCCACCTGGGGCGATAAGGTCACGAATAGTTCAATGTGTAGGGGTAGTTACGGCCATTCTATGACAACACATAAACAACAAAGAGGCAAACAACAAATAGGCACCTTCAACACACAGAAACATACACACTGATATACACACTTTTCTTAGATGTGGACGTAGGCACGCACACACAAACACATTCAGACATATGCACAAAGACACACACGCAGACACATACATAGATACAAACAGAAGCATACATTCGCAAATATACAAGCATACACATTCACACACCCACACACAACAGATACACAAGCAGACAAGCACACGTATATTTACATACACACACACACACACGCAGACACACACACTCAAACACAGACGCACATGTACACACAGAGACTCTCGCACAAACGCAGACAAATAAACACAGACGTACAAACAGACACATATAAAAACTTATACAATTGCCCATACACACACTCAAACATACTCAGAATCATCCGTACACAAACACGCTTACACATACAAACATATCACACATAAACATGTCCAAGTCTCACAGACGCAAGGACACGAACATTCTTATCATTTACACCTTTTTTAATAATAAACTGATTATGCAATATGGATTATTAACTACATTCAATGTGGCATATAATCGCTTCTTCGCATGAACTGAAAAAAAAATTGCGAATAATTGAAATGGGACTGAATTTTTGTAGATCTAGTGGAAGTAGGTTCCAGAAATGAGTATCGAAGTACATTAAATGTGTCTTTTATAAATCAATTTATGATTAGAAAAGAAATTTAATTCTTCAGATTTTAGAGAATTAGGTGATGCCTGATCTGAAAAATGTTTGAATAAAGAGACAGACAGACAGACAGACAGACAGACAGACAGACAGACAGACAGACAGACAGACAGACAGACAGACAGACAGACAGACAGACAGACAGACAGACAGACAGGCAGGCAGACAGACATATAGACAGACAGACAGACAGACAGACAGACAGACAGACAGACAGACAGACAGACAGACAGACAGACAGACAGACAGACAGACAGACAGACAGACAGACAGACAGACAGACAGACAGACAGACAGACAGACAGACAGACAGGCAGGCAGGCAGGCAGGCAGGCAGACAGACAGACAGACATACATACATACATATAGACAGACAGACAGACAGACAGACAGACAGACAGACAGACAGACAGACAGATTCGGGAACTTACTGAAGATATACAGTAATGCAGATGTAAACGTACCAGAGTGTGTGTATTATTGTTGCATGCTACATGAGATCAATACCAGATGTTTCTTTCTTACAGAACAAGGAGCAAACAAATGTTTATTAGTGGCATCACGTTTGGGCTACAAGTGGACTAATGTGAATTGTCTGGCTGTAAAAGAGTTCATTTGTGAGAAAAGGTCAGCCAAGACGGACATCTCATCCAGTGTCACATAGTGTAGACCTCTTTACCTTTAGTTCATGTTTTGTGGCGTTGGTGGACATGTCAATCCACAAACTTCTGTCTCCTGTACTTTCATGCAGTTCTCATACAGACGATCGATCATTGTCTGATGTTAAAAACATACTTCGGTCGCTTGCAGTGATTATCACTAAAAATCAGCTGTCTATGTCAGTATTTTCTAAACTTGTCATAGTCGCGGCGCCTTTTTTTAGTTAACAATTTCCCCGTCGCCCTTACGTGAGTAAAAGTATGAATATTCGTATGTAAAACGTTAAAAACAAAAACAAAAAAAACTTGTATCTTCGAATATTCCGTGGCGCCCCTGTGTAGCGGCTGCAGCTTCCCAGGGGCGACGCATCGCACAGTTTGGGAATCACTTCCGTATATCTAGGTGTGATTTAGAGACTAGCTCTTGAGAATTCTCTTTCTCACGTCAGTTGACAAAGAAAAATTGCACTCATTTTTACATTTTGAGAAATACTGTTGCTTGAGATATTCTACATTTAAACACAAACAGTCTTCAGTTTCATGTTGTTAACAGTCATTTTGCCAATGATAATTTCGTGACAGACTAATTCAGTCTACAAACAAACCAAATGTTACACTAACCCATTATAAGATTTGTGAACACCATATAAACGACATTCGCATGACATTCATTCACACTGCAACCGATAAACTTTAGTGCGGTATCGCCGGGGGTATAACTGACATCTGTTGTCTGTCGATGGGGTTGATCACCCCTGAAACAGTATAATACCTCTGATTTCCAAACCACATAAAGAAATATGCCCCCAGGTTCCATCGAAAGAGGGGGAGAATGATGGACCCAATCAATTAAAAACTAACGTTGACGAGCTTGCTAGCCCCCGGACTGAGATTTTTGCCCATCGGCCGGGTTGTGGCTCTGTACATGTGGAAAGAGCTTCACGGGGTTGCATGGTCTGAGAACTCATGCCGGCAGGATGAAATGCGAGGGTGCACCTAGCAGTAAACGCGTCGCAAAACTACTACTCCCGTGGTAGTTAATGAGTCGTTAGTGAACGACGGCCAGGGTAAACACCACTTGCCCGGAGAGACCCATGACGTCGACTGCAGAGGTGCACATTTGATGATTCATGAAGAAGTGCGTTTAAAGATCAGGTTTCCACCTGCGAGTGACAAGGTGTCGTAGTGCCAACTAGAGGGTACACTGTGTGAGAAATTAAATCATGATTTAAAGAAAAAGTCACTAGGTAAAAAGCTTACAGGATTTGGTAATATAATATACGAGCACTGTTCCCGCGAGTTCTGGACAGTCGAATAGACGCGGCCGGGCGTCAATCAAAATGCAAGCAGGAGACAGAGGGGCATTCTGAAGTGCAGGGCAGACAAAAACGCACTCAGAAAACGGTTCAAAGACGCTACAAGCAGCGAACGGGAGGGGCTGCATGAGGTCTAGTTGCATCTGAGAGCCAGTCACAGTGCCCTCAGTCGCGCTGAGCGTTTCTGTAATAACAGACAGAGAACCAAAAGGGAGCGAGAGAAATTCTTAAGGGACCCGTTCCAGTTTGCCCGAGCTCTTTTCGAGCAACCAAAGTAGGGGTCTCTAGTGGTTAGTAAAGAGAAGCTTGAGTCACATTTACGCAAAATGTACTCAGATAAAAAAACAAATGAGCCTCTCAATGACAATCCAAAGATCCTTAGCGGCCTTAAGCGGCCTGGGTTTCCGAAGGTATCATTTAAAGTGATACCTCCCTCTTAGTCTGAGGTCGAGGAAGTTGTGAAAAGTCCCAAAAGCATCTTTGGCAGTCTCTTCGCTTGTTCCACGTACCGACACAGATCAACGAAATGATCGAACAATATTTATCCAAGTTCGCTTTGCGCTTCTCTACCTCGACGTTTACTACAAGGCGGACTGAGCTCCAAGTTGGGATAGCTATGGGGTGTACAATTTCGCCAGTGCTGTTCGTTATGACCGTGCAGGTCTTGTTAGACGTGGCGGCCGGCTACGGACAGGACCTTCAGATTAGGAATCACTGGATGCCGCCACTACGTACAATTATGGATGACACGACTATAATCAGTGAGGAATCTGCCAGCACGATTCTGAAAAGATTGGATGAGGTGGTCCAATGGAGCGGTATGCAATTCAAACTGCAGAAGTCGAGGAGTCTGTCAGTCCTGAAAGGTTAGGTGGCGGCGATCAGTGTTACGGTGGCAAGGAATCGGATCCCCACGATTCTAGAGGAACCGATGAAGAGCCTTTGTCGCGTTTACTATTCGCCATGGGAAAGATACATAATCTCAGCTCCTTTTACTTCCTGAACAGTTGCTATGAAACATTGATAATTATTGTATTTTTATTGACTTTTTAATTTTGCAGATTGCCTTGGTAAGCTGAACTGGCACACACATTTAGCTGAGTCTGTGACAGCTTGTGACATCATCCACAACTTTCAGTGTCCAATGTAAAATCCCTAGCCTAAAATTATTGTATTAAAAGAATTGCATAATAGTGATTTGTGTGTTAGTTATTGACTTGTCTTTTACAAGGATTAAATTCGAGAACATTGACTTTATTGTACAAAGTTTTGTCTCATATGGCTTAGATTCCTCCCCCCCCCCCCCTTTCCACAGAACAGCTAAGCAGCTGTCGAGAGCGACCTACATGGTAGGAGCTCCGCAGCTCCAGTGACGCTCACAGGGATGACTGTAAAATCTACAATCGTTGAACATACTTATTTACATCTTGGCCCTCATTGGCTCCATGTATGTTTTGTGCACATGGTAGCAAGGGTGCCAACATAAGGGACACTTGGAACAGTGGGACCTCAACCCCATTATGAAATTTATGGGAATAGAGGGGGTGGGGGTTGGGGGAGTCAACGAAGTCTGAAGATAGAAGTATCGCCAGTGTTCGTATTAGTAGTGGCAGTGATTGTGGCGGCAGATGTAATATGTTACATGGCAAATAAATATAATAAATAACATGAAATGTTTACACAAATACAATTGTTGCGCGCTGATTTGGGTAAAGTGTGATAGTGTGTGAAGGGACAGTGGTATGCCTGTACTATCTGTAAGTTCACGGGGGGGGGGGGGGAATAGTGTCAACAGGGTCCGAGTATTAAGAGGAGACCAGTGAAAATGTATATTCATGAACAAGGCGTGCATGCACGAGAAAAAGTGGACGCGTGGGTCGCTGTGTGACGGGCTGAAAGCATGGATAACGAGATAAAAAAAGAAAGTGTGAATTAAGTGACAGCGTGATTTTCAGGTAACATCAGCCACCCACATAAGTGTGATCCTCGAGAATGCCCACATGATCATGATTCACGAGAACGCCCATACGAGCTTACCTCTCGTGTAGACATCATCCACCTACACGGATTTGACAGGGATAAATTGTGTTGCGTAGACGGTCTGGGGGGAAGTGAGCTGTAGCCTGAGGTGTAAAGTATTCTTGTCATCGTGGCTCTATGAAAGTGGGGGGGGGGGGGGGAAGAGAGGCAGAGGGAGGCCGAAAAAAAAGATACTAGACAGTGGAATACCATGGTATAGAAGAGCATCTGTGTCAGAGTCGATTACAAGTACACGAGACAGAAGGTTGTGAATATACATGATTACTAACGTTATACGTCATGCACTATAAATAGAAGAAAGAATAAACCGTCACGTTATCGGCGATGGGGTCGCTTATCGGCTCACCGGAAGAAGACTGTGTCACCGGTGGACACCGTACTTGGGTCTGTCTCCTTTAAACCCATCAACACTACAAGAGTTTTTTTCACAAAAATGAGCATCCTAGTCTAAGAAGAATTTTGTTGTGGGGAATAACTAGGCGATCTGGAAGATGCTATACATCCAGGGCAGAGGCGGGACAGACACACATTCAGACTGTAACTGGTACCATCAAAAATTGATCTCTATGCTTGCTGCTGAAGATATCGACAGTGCTCATGGAAATGTCCTGAGTGTTGAGACTTTGATTTCTGATCCCTAATTAATCCAACGTTTAACAAGTATTGGTGCTTTAAAGAATTATATATTGTGAAATAGTTTTAGAACACCATTTCAATATTGACAATGAGGTGTGTTGTTTGGCAGCTGACTTAGAGGATGAAGTCTGTGCTGGTTGTGTCTCTGACTTGAGCTGTTTGTCTTCATCCAGAAATTATATAAAAGAAGTGTTTTTCCACTCATAAATTTTAGTTATATTTGATTGGCAATGATAAAATCTTCTTGCTCGTAGTATAATTGACATTGGCTTTTGTAACTGTGAAGGTTGTAACTGAAAAGCTTGTAGCTGTGAACGTTGTAACTGTGAAGGTTGTAACTGTGAAGGTTGTAACTGTGAAGGTTTTAACTGTGAATGTTGTAACTGTGAAGGTTGTAACTGTAAAAGTTGCACACTGATAAGTTTTTCACTGTGAAGTCTTAACTGTGAAGGTTGTAACTGAGAAGGTTGTAATTGTGACGGCTTTACACTGTGAAGGCTGTATACTGTGAGGGCTGTAACTGTGAAGGTTGTACACTGTGAAGGTTGTAACTGTAAAGGCTGTAGCTGTGGAGCTGTAACTGTAAAGGTTGGGCACACTTGAGGTTATAACTATGAAGGTTGTAACTGTGAAAGTTGTACACTGTAAAGGTTGTAACTGTGAAGGTTGTAACTGAGAAGTATGTAACTGATAAGGTTGTAACTGTAAAGGTTGTAACTGTAAAGGTTGTAACTGTAAAGGTTGTACACTGTGAAGGTTGTAACTGTGAAGGTTGTAACTGTGAAGGTTGTACACTGTAAAGGTTGTAACGGTAAAGGTTGTAACTGTAAAGGTTGAAACTGTAAAACCTGTAACTGTGAAGATTTTACACTGTAAAGGTTGTACACTGTGAAGGTTTTACACCGTGAAGGTTGTAAACTGTGAAGGTTGTAACTGTAAAGGTTATAACTGTGAAGGTTGTAACTGTGAAGGTTGTAACTAATGGCTGTAACTGTGAAGGCTGAGCACTATGAAGGTTATAACTATGAAGGTTGTAACTGTGAAAGTTGTACACTATAAAGGTTGTAACTGTGAAGGTTGTATCTGAGAAGTCTGTAACTGTGAAGGTTGTAACTGTAAAGGTTGTACACTGTGAAGGTTGTAACTGTGAACCTTTACGGTTATTTCTATCTTCTATTTATAGTGCATGTCGTAAAGCGTTAGTAATCATGTATATCCACAACCTTCTGCCTCGTGTACTTGTAATCGACTCTGACACAGACTCTCTTCTATACCATGGTATTCCACTGTCCAGTATCTTTTGTTTCGGCCTCCCTGTCGCATGACAGAATCCACACATCGACCGCAGTAGGCAGGTCCACTGTCTGAACACCCCCAAAATCGTCATTGTAACTATGAATTAGGATAGGCCGAGCATAGTTATATAGTTCGTTTGTTGTGGGGGAGTCTTGATAGGAAAAATCCCTATAAATCACTATGATATTGACTCTTTTAGGCTTTTAGTGTCGAATTAAACGTTAGGACACATTTTCTACGCCTATTCGAAATAAATTGTCTGACCACTGCACTGCATCCGTGAGCGGGATTCGTACGCTAACTGCTGTAGTTGGGGAACGTGTTTTTATGCGTCACTTCTCTATGGTCCGGTCTTTGAGGCAGTCGCTGTCCTTCTGTGTTGCCAATTGACCGTTAAAAAGACAAGATTCTTTATTCTCTTTTCATTTATCATGGGTGAGTTTTCATAGGGGCTTTTAATTGAATATTTGTGTTCAAAGTGTCTGTGGTGTGGGTAAGTAAGGTCAGCAGATTGATAATGCGAATCTGTTTGTCCACGATTCTTGCGATTGAAGACGGCGAAAGGAGCTACGGATTGGAATGCACTTTCAGCTGACATTTCTCGGAGAATTCTGCGAAATGGCCTTCTAAACCTCTTCGGATCAATCAATCCACATATCTGGAGTGGGTTTATGGTATTGATGACTTTGTATGATTAGTTATTTGCTGTTGTTCGGTATCAGAACTTGGTGAGTCGCTGAACCGTTGTGAATGACAAGGAGCTTCTGGGCGGGCATGACGTCATATCCGCTGTTGCTAGGAGACTTCGTAACCACAACAAGCTTAGACTGTCGTACTATTATCGGAACATATTTCAGTCGATCTTAGTTTTGACTTCATCGCCTATCCCTTATCTTCCCTATTAGTGGAAAAGGTATTTTAAAAGGGAGGGGAAATAATGGTGATCTGTCTCGCCTTCGCTACAGGACTGAATCCAGGATCTATTCGAGTTAATGATCTAGTGCTCACTCTAGGAAACTAAATGGATTCCAAGATAGAGGTAACCAACCTTCATGGTTTGGAATAACCTCAAGTATATCTGAGCATTGGGAGGGAGTAAGGACCTTGATTAACTAGGTGCGTTGGATACGATTTACTCATGGGTGTTGCTTTGCGTTTTTCAGGATTTCTGAAGATCCAACAAACGTCTGTGTCTGACTGAGTGGTTCCACCTGCCACCACCCAATAAGCAATTGACGTGTGGTGAATTGTTGGGTTGAATGTGTGGACGATACTTGAGTCGACATATTCCGATCTCGAGTTGATTGTCCTTGATCTATGGTAGAAGCTGCTTCGTTCCTGTGAAGTCGTGTTGTGAAGAACGGCAGTGTGAAACTCCATTCCGGCATCCTGAGAAGCTGCTTCGTTCCTGTGAAGTCGTGCTGTAAAGTACGGCAGTGTGAAACTCCATTCCGGCATCCTGAGGAGCTGCGAGATCTAATCAGATAAGTCAAAGTGACACTCATAACATGGCTCGATTCCAAATGGGCCTTTGTAATCAGTTCTCCGCCTCTGCCATGATGATCCAGGAAGTTGATATGTCTATGTAGAAAGACTCATTCTCTAGTGTTAGATTTTCAAAGTTTTGAACCTTCCTTTTGAATTCTTCACGCTACTTTTCGTCAACCTTGTTACGGTGAATTGATTACATTAATATTTTCGTTCATCAGTCTTCTGGTTATTAAAAAAGTTTCGTTTTATTGAAATTCATTGTCATATTCAGAATGGTAGTCCTATCTTGTCAAATTCACTGTTGATTACTTGTTCGACTGGGTTTACATTGATACCAGTCTGAGGGCAAAGTGATGAGGACGTCTGGCCGAGAGGTACCCAAGTGTTCATAATAACCCTGTGGAGTCAGAGCTCGTGTCACCTCATCCCTGAGACAGGTTGAATGGAAAGTTTGAACCGAGGGTTAGGCCTCTAGACGAACGAGAGCCACCATTCAAAACACCCCTGTCTCAGAGCACCTGAGGGATTTGTGAAAATATTCCGTTAGTAAAGGTGCGCGACAAAACTGCCATACGACACTCCCTCTGCCTCTCTCCCCCCCCCCCCCCCCC